TGGTGAGACTGGGAGCACTGGGAGGGGGGCACTGGTGAGACTGGGAGGCACTGGGAGCACTGGGAGAGGGCTGGGGGACAGTGAGAGGAGACTGGGAGGGGACTGGGGGGACTGGTGAGACTGGGAGCACTGGGAGAGGGGCACTGGTGAGACTGGGAGCACTGGGGGGAACTGGGAGGGGGCTGGGGGGTACTGGAAGCTCTGGGAGCACTGGGGGGACTGGGAGGGAACTGGGAGCACTGGAAGCTCTGGGAGCACTGGGAGGGGGCTGGGGGGGCACAGGGGGCCACTGGGAGGGACTGGGATGGACTGGGAAGGGACTGGGGGGAACTGGGAGGCACTGGGATGAATTGGGATGGACTGGGAAAGGACTGGGGGGAACTGGGAGGGCACTGGGATGGACTGGGCTGAACTGGGAGGCCCAGTGCTGGGGGGACACTGGGAGGCACTGGGATGGACTGGGCTGAACTGGGCTGAACTGGGAGGCCCAGTGCTGGGAGGACACTGGGAGTAACTGGGAGGGAACTGGGAGCACTGGGAGGCCACTGGGCCATACTGGGCCGGAGCCGGGGGTGAACTGGGGACACTGGGAGGGACTGGGAGGGAACTGGTGTGAGTGGGAGGCAACCGGTCGGGTGGAACTGGTGCCACTGGGAGGGTGAACTGGGGGCACTGGGAGGAACTGGGAGGAACTGGGGGCCACAGAGGGCAACTGGCTGGGGAACTGGGAAAACTGGGATGAACTGGGAGGGAACTGGGAGGAACTGGGGGCCACAGAGGGGGAAGGAGACGGTGTTGGGAAAGAACTGGGAGGGACTGGGAGCAACTGGGAGGCAGTGGGTGGGAAGCGAGAGGTCACTGGGAGGGAACTGGAATGAACTGGGATAAACTGGGAGGGCACTGGGAACAACTGGGAAGGCACTGGGAGGTGCTGGGCTGAACTGGGATGAACAGGGAGGGCACTGGGGGGAACTGGGATCAACTGGGATGAACTGGGGTCAACTGGGAGGACACTGGTTTGCACTGGGCTGAACTGGTGTGAACTGGGGTCAACTGGGAGGGCACTCTGAGGGCAGTGGGATGAACTGGGAGGGCACTCTGAGGGCACTGGGCTGAAGTGGGCTGAACTGGGCTGAACTGGTGTGAACTGGGATGAACTGGGAGGGCACTCTGAGGGCAGTAGTGTGAACTGGGCTGAACTGGGAGGGCACTTTGAGGGCACTGGGATGAAC